GGTTCGAACCGGTAGTGACCCCCCCCCTTTTCATGATGAGCTGGGGGGGGGGGGAGGGGTTCGAACCGGTAGTGACCCCCCCCGGTTTTCCGGAGGGGGGGGGGGGAGGGGTTCGAACCGGTAGTGACCCCCCCCGGTTTTCCGCCAGCAGCGGTAGAACACGCTCTTTCGCAGTTTCAGAAGCTCGGATGTGTGTATTTCTTCACAGCGTGAACCATCGAGGAGCCTCCTGGATCATCAAGCACAAACAGGACGTCCGAGCGATGGTAAGGGTTGCGACCCCTTCCGAGCGCTACCCCTGCGGGTCCAGTCGGCGCTGGGGTTTCGGACGCCCCCGCTGGGGTTCAGAAGGCTTCGTCGCGCGTGGTCGGTTTCGCGAGTGGGCCCCCGCTCAATAAAAAATATCAATTACAGGAGATAATCGGCATGGGCGCTGTTTCCAGTGCGAAACGAACCTTGCGGAATCGGACATTGGTGCAGCTCCCTGCGGAAAGCTGGATACGCATGGGAGCTTCCTCGGCCCGCAGTCGGCGGTTGCTGGCGGAAGCAAAAAGAGGACGCCTCCCTCCGCCAGCGGAAGGCCGGCGGAAGATTATGGAAGGAAAAGCGTCGTTAAAGAGTACGTTGTTCCCCACCCGACAGGTTGGGTTGTTAGATTTCATACCGCGGCCGCCAGACCCCAAGTTGTCCCGAGCATCCCGAGTATCCCAGGTGTCCCGCCTCGCGCCCGGCCAACCCCACCCTGCATACCGCGGCCGCCAGACCCCAAGTTGTCCCGAGTGTCTGTAGTATCCCGGGTGTCCTGCCTCGCGCCCAGCCAAGCCCACCCTGCATACCGCGGCCGCCAAAGACCAAGTTGTTCCGATGATCCCGCCTCGCGCCCTCGACGAACACGACAGAACACAACATATCATAACATAACCGAGCATACCATTGCACACCTTGACCGACCATATCATAGCATGGCACAGCATCACATATGATATCATTACACGACAGCAGAGCATAGCGACGACGAACACGACATACTACAAACTGACAGAATCACATTACATACCATAACACGAGCATGGCATAACATAACAATGCCATGCCAACAACGAGCTTAACATACTATCACAACACATACCAGAGCAGAACATGACATATCATACGCCTATATACAACAACATAACATAGCATAACCGATCATACCATAACACAGCTTGACATGACATATTTGATCATGGCACAATATCATTGAACATATCATAAGACGACAGCAGAACATAGAGACGTATACTAGCAGAACATATCATACGATGATATACAGAGCCCAGCCGTCAACAAACATAACATCACAGAACATACCAGGGCCGAACACGGCATACGATGATATCACATAACACATTGTCAGAGAACATGAACGAGCATAACATAACACACCTTGACATAACATATCATATCGTGACACTGCAGCACAGATCATAACACGGCCGGAGAGTATAGCGACGACAAGCACGACAGAGCTCAATCTGGCACAACATATTGCAGATCAGAACACGAGCATGAGAGAGCATGACAGAACATTGCAGAACGACGTCATGACATCATGGGCCATAACATAACATCACATAACATACCCGAGCATAGCATGACATGATATACGACGACATGACACATTATAGCATAACATAACCGAGCATAACAGAACACACCTTGACATCATGTATCATAGCATGGCGCAGCATTAACTAATATATCATAATATGACATGAGAGCATAGCGACACATACTAGCAGAGCATATCATACTATACAGTACAGAGCCAAGCCAACAACACACATAACATCACATAACATACCAGAGCAGACCATGACAGAACAGAAGACGACATAACACAGCATAGGAGCACATAACCGAGCAGGGCATACTACACCCTGAGAATGATAGTAAGCCGAGCTGTCAACAGCACCACGGAGCATACTATATTATATTGAATAGAGCTGTCAACAGCATCACGGAACAGAGCATTTTACATTATATTTGACATACGAAGCATGCCATAGCATAGTGTCACAGAGCAGACAATGCCATACCATGTCAAATCAGATGTTGGCAGAGATGAGCACAACATACCATACGCAATCAGACGAAACATCTTTAAGTGAAGAGGAGCATCATAACAGACGGCGCATCTAACGTCGCAGGCGTCACGACGTCACGCCGTCTCGTCGAAAACAGAACAGCACATGCTAACTCTTCTAACATGAAAGAACGTGACTGCATGGAACACGGTTCAAGCGTTCGTCCTTGGACCCAGAAACGGCAGTGTGCAGTGTGCAGTGGTGGAGAAGACTACCACGACAGAACAGGACAGTGAACCATACTAACAGAGCAGACCATACCACACTATACTGAGCTGAGCCGTCAACAGCATCACCGAACAGAGCATACTGTAATATAACTTGGCAGAACATATCATGTCCTGACACGGTGCCGCAGAGCAGAGCATAACAACATACCGTCGCAGATTGTGAACGGAATAGATAACGGAATGGCGGAGGGATTTAATATCATAACATGCCGTACCTACATATTGGTCAGTTTGGCCCCAGGAGCCAAGAGTCACAGCAAAGAGCAATTCGACGATGTTTCTTGCGTGGCAAGCGTCACGACGCCACGCCGGCCCGTCGATATCAGAACATCACGGAACACAGCGTCACATTTTACATTTGGGCAGGATCCTACCACATACGCGCACACACATTTCCACACTCTAGCACAGATTCACAGATTAGTTCCACGGCGTCGCCCAGGCGTCACGACGTCACGCCAGCCCGTCGAGAACACAACAATACATAATAGAGCACCACACGGCAGAACGTTACTATATGGAACATTCTGTGGAGATGACAGGGAGATCACATCATCACAGAACACAGTATCACATACGACATCGGTACAGGATCTAGCCAAACACACTGTAGCACAACACCGCCTATACAGTCGCCACCACTCCACGGCGTCTCCCAGGCGTCACAACGTCACGCTGCCCCGTCGAGGACATAACCTGACATAACGGAAAATAGCATAATAGAGCGTCACCACATGGCACATTGTCGAATTATTGTGGATACAGCAACGGCAGTAGTGGAGAGGAGCATCACCGCAGAAAAAGACATGGCAAAACATTCAAACATAGCAGATCCGACTATTCTATATTGAGCTGAGCCGTCAACTTCATCACGCAACAGAGCATTCTATATCATAGCCTGACAGAGGACGAGTAGGGACGAAGAGGACGAGGATGAGGTCGAAGAAAGGGGAGGAGGTAAGAGAAGAGGAATGAGGACGATGAAAAGGACGACGAGTTGGGAAATAAGCAGGAAGAGGAGGAGGAGGAGGAGGAGGAGGAGGAGGGGGAGGAGGAGGAGGAGGAGGAGGAGGAGGAGGAGGAGGAGGGAGGCGGACGAGGAGGAGGAAAAGTAGGGAGGAGAGGTCCGCCTCACCTCCCTCCTCTTCCTCCTCCTTCGTCGTCCGCCTCCTGCTCCTCCTGCTGATGCTCTTCCTCTTCCTCTATCTGCAGGCTGCGTCTCTGTATCCGTTCGCACCGCACGCTTTCGGAACTTGTTGTTTCGCCCTGGGGTTTGTTTCATGTTCTTTCGTCAGGAACTCAGGGGTTGTTGGATTTGGAGAACGGAATTCGCCACCCGGCCCGACCGCGGCATTGGCCGAGACCACAGGGCCTCGCGCGCAGCGTTCCACCAATATGGCGACCGCGCGCCGTCGGGAACAAACGCTTAAGGTTTCGGTGGTGATCGCTCGAAGCAAAATAATTGTTTGAATCAGCGGTTCCTGGAACCCGCCATGCGACGCCACCGGCTTCGCGAAGAGCTGGACAGAAGTGTGACCAGATGTCTTCTTGCCAGCGCTCGGCTTTCCTATAGCTTGGCAGCCTGGGCTTCCGCACGAGTATTCATTGAGCGCGAGGCAGCAGGACGTTCCATTTGTGAGTCCAGCGTTGGGGATAGTCTCTTCCGCCCCAGGCCGAGGTTTCGAAGAATATTCGTAAGCAATTGCATACTTAACCAGCTTCCAGCTTATCCTTATCTCTAACACTGGCAAGACCAAGGCGGCGACTCTCCTTGGGAGGGGTTCTCAGAAACGGGGGGGGACCCTCGAGATCGTCTCGAGGTAAGGGGATGCTAAGGGACACGGATATGCTGCACTGCAAAAATAACATAGTTCTTCAGAGGTCTGCGCGGATGTCCTGGGCTTGGCGCTGACCCCAGCCCCTCTGGCGGCGCTGCCCCTGGCGCCCAGTGCTCCAGGGTAGCCATGAACCAGACGGGTGGTCCACAGGGAAGCTGGTCTTCAGGTTCTCCACCGTGTTTTTCCCCAGAGGCGAAAAGCTGGCCCTGGGGAAGGCCCCAAGGCTTGGGAGGAGACCCGCTTCCCTCTGAGGACCCGTCTGCCTTTTTGCCGGCAGGGATTTGAGAAGCCCAGCGCCGACATGAAAAGTCCGCGCGGACCCCTGGCTCACGATTTGGGACGATCGAAGCGGGTACAAAATCCATCAGCAGATCTTGTTCATTGTGACCAGGACTCCCTGTCGGTGTCGCCGCGAGTGTTGCCCATTTGAGACGGAAGGCCGCCTGCCCAAAAGCAGATGCTGTCAGTTTTTTGACAACATTTACTGCTGGGCATCGTACCCATGTTTTTCCGTACCCAATTCAGACGTCCAAATTATGCCGACTGGGCAGGGGGGACCCAGCGTTGACCCGAAAAGTCCGCGCGGACCTTGGCCCACTACCTACCAAACCACCCCCACACGACCCGAGGGCTCCATTTCGCTTTTCATTCTCAGAGGTGGGCGTTCTCTGGGACATGGGGAAAGCACTGTGGAGCCCGTACGCCTCACAACTCGAAATTTGCGATTTCGGGTTTGGTGGAGGTGGTCGGGTGGGTAGTCACTGGAAGTCGATGCTCGTGTAGATGTATTCGTGCCTTCTTCCGAGGACGTGGCCGCCGCGGGCGCCGTGGCCTTCACGCACAGCCCCCTGTCCAAGCCGATGCCCGCCGTCTGGCTGGAGCCCGCGGCCCCGCCCCTTTTTTGTTGTTGTTGTTTCTCTCCCCAGGCCAGCTGCCGGCGGGCTTGCGCAGCCTCCGCCTCTTCCCTTGCGGGGCAGCGCCAGGGGGAGACTGGCGGCCGTGAGGGGCGGCGTCGAGGGGGGACTTGGCTCAAGGGGGTGGACGCAGCTTCGAGGTTTTAGGGGATCGACTACAACACTGATCTACCCCGAACTTGTTTTCTCGTCGAATATACTCTTCGTAGGTTTACGAACACTATGCTCATTGGAGGTGCAAGGTTTTCGGCAGACGTTTTCGCCGGTTTTCGGCGGCTGTCCAACCTCGGCATGCCTCTTTGAGCGGCTGCGCCTCGCCGAGAGCGCTCCGGCATATAGCACGGCTCCTCCCAGAAACGGCCGCCGGAGGCCCGAGTCGTGGTCCGAGAACCGCCAGGGGGCCCGCCTTGAACAGTGGGAAACCGACCCCAGACCCCAGCCCCAACAACTATGGATTTTACATGGCAGCGTTTTGCATGTATGGCGCCCTGTCGGCGAGGCCTGTCGGCGAGGCCACTGCCAGCTGCCGCGGGGGGCGTCCCACGCGCGCGGCGACGTCCCGGGCCCACTCGACGCGGCTGTGCCCGCGCCCGCATTCCCAGGGCCGCGCGTGCCACGGCCGCGGCATGCAGGTTGAGGGGACGCCGGCGCTGTCCCTCGCATCGCAGCGCCGCTGGCCCAGCAAAGGGCCCCCGCCCCCGCTTTCGTCGGAAAAGGCGCTTCTCTTGAGGCAAATACTCCAACATAAGATTTGCTGGCGCTTCTATAAACACACGCGTCTGTTTATATAATTGTTTGTGGGCTCTCCCTCGCGAGACTGTTTAGACTTTTTCGACTTTTTGGGGCTCTCCCTGCTTATTGGCTTCGGAGAAGATTAGGTCGATTCTATATAGAGTTTCTGTAATTCTCTTTTTTTGCGGGGTGTGGATCTAAACTTTTCGATGCGTGCCCGCGCCGGGCGGGCCCTAGGCGCCGTTCCAGGCTCTTGCCGGCGCCGGCATGGGCCGACGCGCCCCTTGGTTTTGCCCTGGCACGGGCGCGCGAACATCCACAATGACTTTGGACATTGACCGTGTGCCAACACAAGGTAACGCCAAGTTCAAACGCTAATGAGCATAGCAGCAGCTCGCCGTCCGCATTGAATTGCGCGGCGTTGTCGTTGGCTGACCGTCGAGTTGTTTCCGCTTGCGGTTCGCGCGTCGTTTGACGGTCCATTCGTCTCAAGTTCTTCATGTCACGCCCTTGGGGAAAGCATCGGTCGCGGCTCAAGGGACGGGGGTCATTGCAAACGGGGGTCAGCCAAAGCTCCGGATCTTGTAGGATCTTGCAAGATTCGGCTCTCGCACAAAACCTCGCTGGCCCCACCCAGCGCACGGGGCGGCAACGAGGTGGCAACGGGCTGCGACGTGGCGAGACCTCGCCGATACCACCCATCGCACGAGGTGGCAACAAGGCGGCAACGGGCGGCAACGTGGTACTCAGCGCACCAGGTGGCAACGAGGTGCAACGAAGGGGGAGGGGGCGAGAACGCGCCAGACCCAGACCCACCTAGCGCACGAGGCGGCAACGAGACGGCAACGAGGCGGCAACACGGCGAAGATTCGCCAGACCAACCCAGCACACGAGGCGGCAACGAGGCTGCACCGAGTGGCAACGTGGCGAAACCTCGCCGGATTCAGAACAATATAGGTTTTCCCAAAAATGGCATGTTGGTCTTATGGCTGCTGTCTTGCATGCGTCTTGGGGTCTTTCCGGCGCCGCTTGGGGTCTTTTCAGGGGTTGTTCGGTGCATGCTGCGGGTTGCGGAAACCTTTTTGGGTGCGCATACGTTGTTTCCACCCGTTTCCGCAGTGTTTCTGCTGGCTTCCGCCGGCGGCGGAAGTGGCCTCGCTTTATTTCCGCCGGCCTTCCAGCGCCTTCCACCGTGGAAGAAATGGTAAGTTCTTCGATTCTCGAAGGCGAAGCCTTTTCGAACGCCTCAAATAGAGGCAATGTTGGGCCATTTTGTCGGCCTTCGTGGCCTTCCTGGGTAGCCTTTGGAATCTTGAAGGGCCTTGGAGTGCTTCCGGGAGGCGTTTGAGCGGCCAGCGAGCCTCGGGAGACTGGGCTGGCGCACGCGCGTGAGCGTGTCGAGAGGTGTGGGGGGGGCCCTTAAAAGATTCACCGCAGCCTTACGAAGCAGTTTTCGGTATCGTACCGTTTCCCATTGTGCCGGGGATCGTGTTGGCCGACATGTGTATACATAGTATGTATACGAGCATCGGCAGTGTGTATTTTGTTGTCTATATGTGTATGTTTGTATATGTGTGTATGTATGTATCTCATTCGTGTGTGTGTGTGTGTTAGGTTCTTACGGGCGCTATGTATGTATGTGTGTATGTGTATGTATTTTTTGTGTATCTGCACATTTGCCTGACAGTGATAGCGAGACAGACACAACACAGCGATAGGTCCACACGGGGTGCTGGGGGGGGGGGGGGCGGACCATAGAGAGAGAGAGAGCAGGAGAGAGAGAGAGAGTGATGTAGGGAAAGCGAGAGTGAGACAGAGAGATAAAGTAAGTGAAGGAGAGAGAGAGAGAGGCAACAAGCAAAAACATAGCAATACACATATAACTAATGACGAGCAGGTATCGGGACATCGACAGAAACGGAGACAACATCCGAGACAGACACATACCATAGACAGATATAGACATATAGATATCGGCATAGACTGTATGATGATGGTGATGATGATGATGTTGATGATGATGCTGCTATTGATGTTGGTGATGATTATGACGATAATTATGACGATGATGGTGAGAAGGAGGATGATGAGGATGTAGAGGAGGATTCGGAGGAGGCAGAGGACAGGGGGCAGAGGAGGAGGAGCAGGAGGAGGAGGAGGATGATGAGGCGTCGCCCAGGACAGAAGGGACAGCCGCGAGCCCTCGGACCCGGAGAAGCAGCCGCCGCCGCTGCCCGTGCGCAAGGCCTCTAAGTACAGCGGCTCGAAGCATGGCAGCCCCGGCGAAGGAGAAAGACGAGGAGGAGGAGGAGGAGGAGGAGCCAAGCGCTGGATTTTGTGCAAAGCCACGGTTGCATTGACCCCGGTTAGCGCGCAGGATCTCGCAGGATTTTGGAGGATTTTGCAAGATCTTGCAAAACCTGATTGACCAGGGTTTGCATTGACCCTGGTGGGTATGAGCCCGAAAGGTCAGGGCGAGGAGGGGGAGGGAAGGAGGTGGAAATCGAGGAAGAACAATCGGCATTAACAGAAACTCTCGCCGCCCAGGCCCCCCGTGGCAGCGCCTCTGGCGCCGCCCCCGACGCTCCCCGCGCGCCAGGGAGGGGAGTCCAGCGCTGATCCAAGAAATCCGTGCAGAGCTCCGGTATATCATGTTTAGCAAGTTGTTTGTTTCTCTAGGGATGAGAGGGCGAGGAGGCGAGGGGCAAGTCTGCGCGATTCTCCCCGTCCCATTCTTCCGCCTTCTCCTGCCTCCCGCTTCGTTCAGGCAGGGACGTTGGCGCGGGCTTCCAGAAGCGCCTGGGGATGCTGCTGGCCACTAAGGCGGCCCGACTGGGGTCCCGCGGACCTCCCTTCTCTGCAGGAGGCCTCCCCCCCGAGGAAAAGGAAGGGGAGGAGGAGGATATGATATGATATGATATGGTATGATATGACATGCCATGATATGATATGGCATGATATGATCTGATATGCGCTTGGGGAGCCATGTCTCCCTCGCCTCCGCGGGACAGCACGCTTCACAGCAGCTCATCGCTTAACACTCAAGCCCCCTGCGATTGATGTCATCTGCTGCCGTCGGAGCGGACTTGCGGCGGCCGCCTGAGGCCACGGACCCCGAAGCGGTGCCGCGTCGGCCCAGGGGCTCCCCAGCTTCATGCCGATGGTGGGGCAAGGCCTGCCTCACTCAGGGCGCAGACCTCCCCGAACGCTGTTCTCTCACCTGCTCTGCTATCTCTAGCCTTCGCCTTGCATGGTTACGGACACCTTCCGCCATTCTCCGTAGCCGCTCTAGCCGCACTAAGTTTTGAGCCGCCTCCCGCCCGAATATTCATGCCGCTGAAGCCCGTGCAGCTGCAACTCCACGACGCTGCTCAGGTCGTCCTTGGGTCGTGGTCCGTCGCTGGCCACGCCTCCCACCTCCTCGAACGCCTTCGTCATTGCACTCGTCGGGAAGCCGAGAACCCGAGAATTGGAATCTCACCTCGACAAGCGTTGCCACGACTGCGAACGGATTGATGCTGAAGCTCACCTTCGCCATGATGTCCTTTTCCGTGCCTTCCTTGCTGTGCGCTTCCTTCACGCGGAAGCTGCCGAATACCTCCTCCACAGACTTCGGGCTGCCCTCTGGTACGCCCTGAGCACCTCCTTGTGTTGCCCATCCTTGCTGTCTTCGATCAGCCCGTCGAACGTCTCTGCGGCCACGTGCAGGTAGGGCGCTCCCAGCCGGTGTCCCTTGCCGCACTTCCTTACCGTCGCGAAAGTGGGCGCGACTGGCTCATCCTGCCAGTCGGTCACCGCTTCATGGCAGGGAGCGGCGACTATGGGAGCAGGAGAAGGAGGAGCAGGAGGAGGAGGAGGAGGAGGAGGAGGAGGGGCGTGACGTGCGCGGAAAATTCGCAACTTGATCATCAGCCACATCGCTGGGATCATCGCGTGCGAGAAGGGCGAGCGGTTTTTGATGGCTCTGGCGCTGCTCAGCCAAGTGTGAGATGCGAAAATAGAGCCAAACGTCATCAGCTACCATCCTGGGATTAGCGCATGCGAAAATCGGAGAAGGTGCAGCGGCAGCATGGGTCGTGAACCGGAGCCTCTAGGGCGCATGCGCCGCTGGCATCCGGGTGCGGCTCGCGCGCATGGGAGCGCGCGGGGACATGCCCCCTCCAGGAGCAGCAAGAGCAAGAGCAGGAGGAGGAGGAGGTGGATGAGGAGGAGGGGAAGAGCGTAGGGGAAGGCAGGAAGGAATGGGAAGCGGCCGGAGTTGGAGGAGGAGGATGGAGGAGGGTGGAGGGAGGGAGGGAGAAAGGACGATGATGATGACGATGAAGCTTGGTTGTATGTTGGTGAGGGGGGAGGCGGAAACAGAAGAAGAAGAGGAGTGAGACGAGGAAGGGGACGAGAATTGAGAGTGGAGGGGGAGGGGGAAGATAGAGGTGGAAGGTGGAGTAGAGGGTCAGGGAAGAGGAGGAGGAGGGGGCGATGTTTCCCTGGTCTCCTCTTGCCCACCCCTTCCTCATTTGCCTCCCTCCCTCACGACGACGATCCCCCGGCTCGGGGGCAGTTCCTGGAAGCTTACATTCAGCATCTGCGTGGGTATATCCACGGTCGGAATCTATCCCACTTCGGCCTATTCCCGCTCAGTCTAGCCTACCCGCTCATTCCGGCTTAATCCTGGGGTCAACTTGGCTTGATCCGGCCCAAAAGCCTCTCAGACCGGACCTGAATAGCCCTTAACCGTTTCCACGAAGACCCCTAAGGAGTTGTTCCCTACACAAAGCGTTGTACATGCCGCGGCCGCTGATCACGAAGAACAGTAGTAGCACGACGTAGTGGGTGCGGCAAGCCGCACCTGCAGGGGTCGTAACCCCCCTCCCAGAGTCGCCCACCTCCGGGTTCTCGTCCTCCTGCTTCGCCACGTCCTTTGCCACGCCCTGGAGTCGAAGCTCCCCAGAAAACCGAACAAGTTCAAATATGTATTGAATTTCGCAAGCACGAATTCCGTGCATGAGATCGGTCTCATGCCAGCTGGCCCGCGGCGGCGGGGCGCCGCGCCTCCTCGCTGTCATCTCCGCCTGGTACGTCAGGTACCGTCAATTGCTGGCCTGTGGTCTCCTTGTAGGCGTGCTTGTACGCCTCCAGATGCTGGCCCGCCAGCATGCGGCTGTTCCTGTGCACTCCCATGTGGAACTCCCGTTCGCCCTTGTCGCGGTTCCACCGCAGGTCGGCTCCCACCAAAACGCCCGTCCCGGGTGCAAGCATCCATTCTGGTAGGGCTGGGAACCGCTGCCTCGCTGAGGGTTGCTCCCTCTTTTGTGCTGGTCGTTGGGCTCTCACGAGCGCCCAGTTCAGCATGTCCTCGTGCTGCATGCGGACGTCCTCGGGGGTCACCGTCACGGCCCCCGCCTCCGTCATGTCATTGTTCTCGTCCCGCATGCGCTTCGGCTCCTCCTCATCCTCGTCCCGCTTGCGCTTCACCAGGTCCAGCAGCTCCAGATCTCCCCCGAGGTCTCTGTCCGCCAGATCCTGCTGCTCCTCCCTCCGGCCCTGCTGCACTGGGCCCTTCTTCTTCCGCCATTTCCGCTTCCTCCGCGAAGCCGCGGTGGCAGCGGCCTGCTCGGGGGCTCCCGCCGGCGCTCCGCCGTTGCCACGCCATGCCGCCATGACCGCAGTGGCCACGGCAGCCAGCCCCGCCGGCTGCGACGGTCAGGCGCGGGGCGCCTGCCCGTACGGCAGCGCTGACGGCCGCATCCACAAGGGATGCAGCCATCGCTCCGCCGGCTTCCATCATCCCACGCGCGCCGCCGAAAGGGGGGGGGCCTGGCGCGCGCACTTGAGCCTGAGGCTTGTGGTGTGTGTTGAGTCTTCGTTTTGAAGCGACAGCGCCCCGCATCTCCCTTACTCCTTGCCCTCCTCCTCCTCCTCCTCCTCCTCCTCCTCCTCCTCCTCCTCCTCCTCCTCCTCCTCCTCCTCCTCCCCCCTCTTCCTCCTCTCCTCCTCCTGCTCCTCCTCCCATACCTGCCTCTACCCTCCGCCGCACCAGTCAACCATTTCGGCACACAACTCACACGCGTCATGGCCCCACAGGGAGCTCCACCGCAGGCCCCAGTGGCTGCGTTCGCATGCGCCCACCGCAGCCATGTCAGCACACCCCTCACGCGTTTCGTGGCTTCACGGGGAGCTTCACCGAAGGCCCCAGTGGCTGCGTTCGCATGCGCCCACGGCGCCCATTTCGGAACACCCCTCATACGTTTCGTGACCTGACAGGGAGCTCCTCCGAAGGCCCCAGTGGCTGCGTTCGAATGCGGCCATCACACCCACTTCGGCACACCACTCACACGGTTCGTGGACTTACCGGGAGCGCCACCGAAGGCCCCAGTGGTTGCCTTCGCATGCGCCCACCGCACCCATGTCAGCACACCCCATCACACGTTTCGTGGCCCCATAGGGAGCTCCACCGAAGGCCGCAATAATGGCTGCGTTCGCACGCGCCCACCGCACCCATGCATGTCAGCCCACCCCGTCACACTCTTCGTGGTCCTGCAGGGAGTTCCACGGCCTGGCCCAATCCGGCCAACCACTCACACGTTCCGTGGCCCCGTGGGGAGCGCCACTGAAGGCCCCTGTGCTGGCTACGTTTGCATGCGTGTGCCCCGCCAGTTTTTCGGTACATCCTCACACGTTCTGCGGCCCCGTAGGGAGCTCCGAAGGCCCCAGTGGCGGTGTTCGCACGCGTCCGCCCCGCCCATTTCGGCACACACACACACACACACCTCACACGTTTCGTGGCCCCATGGGGAATCCCACCAAAGGCCCCAGTGGCTGCGTTCGCATGTGCTCACCGTGCACATTTCTGTACACTCCTCACATGTTTCGTGGCCCCATAGGGAGCTTCACCGAAGACGATGCTTTCAATTGCTTGATTTACAACTGCATATGGTTGGGTCCTTCGCCGGGCTAATCTGTTCAATATGGGGCCTCTGGAAGTTCGGACACTAAGGCCGGTTCTACATCCCAAGAAGTTCCCCAATCAGTGCTTGCACTGAAGGGGTCCTAGCGGATATTCCCCAATCGGAGCTTGCACTGAAGGGGTCTCAGCGTATATTGAAAGATTTGGCGAAAATGCCGGGCCGATTTCAGTGGGCGGCCGGCTTCCCGGGTTCCCGGTTACGGATTCCTGGGTTCGGGCGGATTTCAGTGGGCGGCGGGGTTCCCGGGTTCGGGTTCCTGGTCGATCTTCTAATCGATCGGTTTCACCATCGAATTCATTACCCCCCTCTCGATCGATCTCACAATCGATGTCAGTATCAATCTCACAATCGACCTCACGATGGATCGCACGAGCGATCTCACGATCGATCTCACTATCGATCTCGTTGAATCGACTACACTCTCGGCCTCACGATCGACCTTACAATCGTCCTCCCTATCGATCTCAATATCCGAAAGAGCGCGTTCTGTGGTCGCTTGGAGGGGTGGAGGGGGGGTGGTGGAGCCGGACTGGACGCCCCCCCCCTTGGATGGAGGGGGGGAGGGGTTCGAACCCCCCCCCCCTGCCGTGACGGAGGGGGGGGTGTTCGAACCCACCCCCTTCCTCCCCTACTTCTCCTCTCTCCCCAATCTCGGGCCGGCGCCTGCGTCGGCGGCGGCTGGCGGCGGCGGCGGGGACGACGATTTCCTTTTCTGGGCCGGCGCCGGCGCCTGCGGCGGCGGGCGGGCGGCGGCGGGGAGCGTCGACGAGGACGACGGTGGTGGTGGTGGTGGTGATGGTGAGTTGTGGTGGTGGTGGTTTGAATTCGGTACGAAGACCGACAGCATTTCCTGTCCATTTCTCGCAGGACTTGCTTCGGTCTTGTTGAGGACATCCGAGACATAATGCCGCCTGCCCAACAGCGGGGTGAAAAACTGCACCACATGAATCCCGGGAGGAGTCTGGGAACCGATATTGAAGGGAACTGGCCTAATCCCCCCCTCCTGACCGATGATCGTCGATGTTCTGGGGTCCCAGCCAATTCAGACAGTACCCCTGGCCTCCTCCTGGCCTCCTCCTGGCCCTTCGGAGGTTGTCAAAAGTACCCCTGGCCTCCTCCTCCTCCTCCTCCTGGGTCCCTCCTGGGTCCCTCCTGGCCTCGTGAAGGGGTGCCCTGGAGGCCGTGGGGCCCCCTTTCTGGAAATCCTGGGGCACCTTGGGCCAGGGGCACGTCTGGCAGCACTCGACATGCTGGGCATCGTACCCACGTTTCGAGCAGGGGATCGACGACAGAATTGGTTTACCCCAAGGTTGATCTGGTCTCCGGATGTACGGAGCATGCCCAGAAAATCCAGCAGACCCACGGAGCATTCTACGTTGTGGCGCAGATCCGGCGGAACCTCAATCCCGGGGTAAATCAGTTCTGTAGTCGATCCCCCGCTCGGAGTGTCGGGCACCGCGCCCACTTTTGTCCGTGCTCATCTCGGGCGTCCAAAGTTCCGCGACGCCTCTTGCGGGCAGGACGGCGCAGACCGGCTGGCCAGGAGGTTGTACCCGCGCTTCGGGGGCAGGCCCGATCAGCTCGTGGCCGTCACGGGCCTCCTCGAGGACGGGGCCCGTACCCTCGCCATGGGGGAACCAGGTCCTGAGGGAAACGGGCCCTGAGGCTTGTCGCAGTTTTCCCCCGCTCCTGGGGCCCTCCCACGGGCCCCAGCGCTGTCCTGAAACGACTCAGGATGGAGAGCTCGTCCTGGGAGAAGGCACCAGGGTCCAGGACCCGTTTCCCTCAGGGCCCGCTCCCCCTCATGCTAAATACAGTTGGGGCGCTGAAGGAGGAACCTTTTGCTTTGGGGAGGGGCTCGGTGTTCCTTGATTGTTCCCAACCCTCCTGTGTGTTGGGTCCTCGTTTTGAATTCGCAGCGCCGCGCGTCTCCTTCCTTACTTCCTTCCTCCTCCCCCTCCTCCGTTCTCTCCTCTTCCTCTTCACTCCTCCTTCCACGTCCTCCTCATCCTCCTCTCCCCTCTCCCCATCACCATCACCACCATAATCCTCGTCACCATCATCATCATCATCCTCCTCCTCCTCCTCCTCATCATCATCATCCTCATCAGCAGCAGCATCATCATCACCACCACCACCACCATCAGCATCACCATCACCATTGCCACCACCAGCATCATTCTCATCACCGTTTCGGCGCACCCCTCACACCTTTCGTGGCCCCATTGGGAGCTCTACCGAGGGCTCCTGTGGCTGCGTCCGCATGGTGATTCGGGAGGGAGCTCCCCAGAGGGCCCCAGAGGCTGCGTCCGCATGGTGACTCGGGTCCCTTCGGGTGCACCCTTCTCACGTGTCGTGGCCCCCTAAGGAGCTCCATCGAAGACCCCAGTGGCTGCGTCTGCATGGTGGCTCGGGTCCCTTCTGACACACCCCTCACACGTTTCGTGGCTCCGTAGGGAGCCCCGCCGAAGGCCCCAGTGGTTGCGTCCGCATGGAGACTCGGGCCCCTTCTGGCGCACCCTTCACACGTTTTGCGGCCCCATATGGAGCCCCACCGAAGGCCCAAGTGGCTGCGTCCGCATGGTGACTCGGGTCCCTTCTGGCACACCCCTCACACGTTTCGTGGCCCCATAGGGAGCTCCCCAGAAGGCCCCAGTGGCTGCGTCCGCATGGTGGCTCGGGTCCTTCCTGGTACAACCCTCACACGTTTCGTCGGTCCAGAGGGAGCTCCACCGACGGCCCCAGTGGCTGCGTCTGCATGGTGACTCGGGTCCCTCCTGGTGCACCCCCCACCAGCATGGCGCATGATCCGCGACGCGGTTTGCCTCCTGCTTCCAGTCCCCGCCCTTGTGTTCCTCGCCGCATGCACTGCTAACCTCCGCGTGTGAATTGAGTCGCGTGACTGCGTGCTGAGCCGGGTCCGATTTTCTCCGGCGAAGTTTTCAGGGGAATTGCGACCCCCCCAAAGAGTTCTTGTGCAGCGAGTGGTTTTGTTGATACTTTCCACGCGTGTAGAATGGGTTGGTTTCTTCGCCAGGGTAATGTTACAGTTTGCCTTCTGTTTCCCTGAGGTTTTCCATGGGCAATTGAAATTTTAACTTCTTATGGTGAAGGGGGCCTCGTTCCTTATTTAGGGTTCCTTCGGTCAATGCCCCGACGGTACGCCGATCCGACACGATAGCCGATTCGGCTCCGACGTTCCATCTTTCAGGTCCGGCTTTGGCCGTAAGCGGGGTAGTGACCGCACGGTCGCCGGCCGTTTTCTTCCTCTTCCTCCTCCTCGTCCTCCTCCTCCTCCTCGTCCTCCTCCTCCACCTCCTTCTCCTCCTCCTCCTCCTCCTCCTCCTCGTCCTCCTCGTCCTCCTCCTCCTCCTCCTCCTCCTCCTCCTCTTCTGCCTCCGGATGCGTTCAAGCAGTTGCGCCATGGCGAGGGCACTCGGGGGGTGCCAGGATCGTCGCTAACGGCCGCCGGAGACCCGATTTGTGGCGTGATCTCCCGGATCGGTGTGGTGACCACGGCATCCGGGGTAATCGCACGGTTTTGGGATTCGGGTCGTTCTCCGAGGCTTCCCCGGGCGACCAGGGCCCCCGAGGTTCAAGACCGTGCGGTGTCGGACCGCGCGGGGAGGTCTCTTGGGGTTCCGAGGTCACCACGCGGTCCGTCACCTCACGCTTTTAGACCCGCTGACAGGTCATCCAAACCGTTGGGGACGTTGTTCTATTCGTATTCAAGATCGACGTGCGTTTTTCCCAACCATCCTGTGGTGTTGGGTTCTCATTTTGAAGAGATCCCCGCGTCCTCCTCGCCTCCTGCTCGGCCGTTAGCCCGCCCCCTTGATGCGCGCGGATCCACCGCGCCCATTTTGGCACACATCTCATTCGTTTCGTGGCCCTATAGAGAGCTCCATCGAAGACCCAAAAGCCAGCGCTCGCATGCGGCCACAGCGCCCAGTGTGGCACACCTCGCACACGTTTCGTGGCCCCATCGGAAGCTCCACCAAAAGGCAAGATGCCAGCGCTCGCATGCGCCCACAGCACCCATTTTGGCACACCCCTCACACGTTTCGTGGCCCCATCGGCAGCCCCACCGAAGACCCAAAAGCCAGCGCTCGCATGCGCCCACCGCGCCCATTTTTGGCGCACCCCGTTGCCATCGCTTGCATGCGCCCACAGCACCCATTTTGGCACACCCCTCACACGTTTCGTGGCCCCATCGGATGCCATCGTTCGCATGGGCCCACAGCACCCAGTGTGGCACACCCCTCATACGTTTCGTGGCCCCATGGGAAGCTCCACCGAAAGGCCAGATGCCAGCGCTCGCATGCGCACACCGCGCTCATTTTGGCACACCCCTCACACGTTTCGTGACCCCATGGGGAACTCCACCGAATGCGGTGCATATAACGACGATCCCCACAACTGCATATGGTTGGGTCCTTCGCCAGGCTACTTGTTTGGTACCAGCCTTCTTTCCATGTGGTAGATTTTCGATCCGCCAGTTTGTTCTAGCTGTTGACCTCCGTGTTTGACTCGGTTTCGGTGGCCTTTTTCGTTCCTTTGTCTGGTCTGGACCCCAGCCTGCGCCTTGCCGCGTCAGCCTGTTGCATGCTCTCTCTCTCTCTCTCTCTCTGCGACGGTCCGATGCACGTTCCGAGCCGAGCCCAGACCCCCGACGTCATGATGCCATAGGTTTACGCCATATCGGCCGACCCCCCTGGAGCCTGGAGCCTGGAGTGTAGATTGTTTCCTGTGTTTTTGGGGGGCGTCCAGGGTGATGGTGATGTAGGTGGGGGTGTTGGGTTTAGGAGTGTCTTGGGGGCATCGTGGGCCGCCTGGAGGCCGTCTTGGGCGTTTTGGAGTGGAACGATATTGTAGCGTCTCGGGGCCTTCCTGGACCGTCTTGGGTTCGTCTTTGGGCCCCCTTGGGCCGCCGGGGAGCTTTATTTCCGGGGGGCGGGGTGAATGGGGGGGCCAATAAGAGAAGCAGTCTCACACGCCTAGAGACCCACAGGGGGTGAGCTCATTTATTCTCACCCGATTTCACCTTTGTCCCAGCTTCGCCTTAGACGCATCGCTTCGCATGCATGTGCAGGCGAGGCGCTGAAATACAGGAGTATACTTTGTTCAGACGGCGGGCCCTGCTAATGGGGAGCCGAGGCTCGCCGTGGCCAGGAAGGTCCTGCCGTTCTTCGCTCCCAGACATCCGATGCCCTGGTAATTGTAAATGCGCGGCCCCCCTACGTCCCAAACCTGTCTCCAGCGCCTGCTATTCATCCCGAGTCTTTGTTTGACGGTCCCAGGGCCCAGCGACGGCCCATGAAGAAAAGCACCTTTGTTGTTTTTTTCCCCAGAAAGGGCGTGGGCCCAGGGTTCTCTTTTAGTGTGGTAAACTTGTCCCCGGTGCCTCAACTGAGGGGCTCCCGCTGATGTTTTCCTTGATCAATATCGGAGTCGAAGGGCGCCGGCGGATTAAAAATTGAGGATGTCTCGAGCGAAACGCTTGTGTTTCAGAATTTGTTGAGGATGTCTCGAGCGAAACGCTGGTTTTGCAGAGTTGGGAATGTCTCGAGCGAAACGCTTGTTTTCAGAATTTGTTGAGGATGTCTCAAGCGAAACGCTGGTTTTGCAGAGCCGACCGCGACGCGGAAAAGCGCCCCGCGCGAAGGAATTTCGATGATGTCTCGACTAATTCGTTTGTTTTTGTACGATTTCCTGGAATTTTGGCAGGATGTCTCGAGCGAAATGCACGACCCCACCCTAGCACGACCATACCCCAGCACGACCACACCCCAGCACGACCAGACCCCAGCACGACCCCACCCCAGCACGACCCCACCCCAGCACGACCATACCCCAGCACGACCACACCCCAGCACGACCCGACCCCAGCACGACCCTACCCCAGCAAGACCACACCCCAGCACGACCACACCCCAGCACGACCTCACCACAGCACGACCACACCCCAGCACGACCACGCCCCAGCACGACCACGCCCCAGCACGACCACGCCCCAGCACGACCACCCCCCAGCACGACCACCCCCCCAGCACGACCACCCCCCAGCACGACCACCCCCCAGCACGACCACACCCCAGCACGACCACTCCCCAGCACGACCACACCCCAGCACGACCACACCCCAGCACGACCACACCCAGTCGCACCCCCGTGGAATGTTTCGTGGCGTGTCTGGTTGAGTGGTTGCCTGTTCGTGGGGTGTCTCGTGGAATGTTTCACGGGGTGTCTCGTGGAATGTTTCGTGAGGTGTCTCGTGGAATGTTTCGTGAGGTGTCTCGTGGGATGTTTCGCGGGGTGTCTCGTGGGATGTTTCGTGAGATGTCGCCCAGTTGGGTATCGTGAAAACGTGACCAGGCTGCACATGTCTTTATCCCTTTCCGGGTTCGTGGGTCCATCATGTTGCCAGAACGTCGGAGGCCGGCTGTTGCGCGATATCCAGCACCGAACCAAACCATTGGGTAGATTCTGGAGGTCGCCGCGGCCATCTCGGCGGCTGCTCTGGGTCGCAGCAAGAGATCGCCTCTGCCACGGGGGGAAACAGAAGCGGCCGTGCACGGTGGAGGACAAACTACGGTGGCAGGGCTACCACTACAAAATGTGGGCAAACCCTCGGTGGCGGTGTCCGCATGCGTTTCCCCCACCCAGTACAGCGCTTCGTGGCCACCGAAGGCCCCACTGGCAGTGTCCGCATGCGTTCCCCCCGCCCTGTACAGCGCTTCGTGGCCCCATGGGGATCTCCACCGAAGGCCCCAATGGCGGTGTCCGCATGCGTTTTCCCCACCTGGTGCATCTTTTCGCGACCCCATAGGGAGCTGCACCGAAGGCCCCCGTGGCTGCGCCAGCATGCGTCCCCGCTCAATTTCTCAAGGGAGGAAAACCACCCCGACTGGACAATTGACGTTTATTCAAAGGCTTCGGGCGTTTGCTTGACAGCCTTGCCCTGTTTGGTTCTTTCTATGGGTGCGTTTAATAAACGGCTTCGCGTGTCGGGGTGGCTACTATCGGGGTGCATTTTCGGCCCCCTTATTTCGGCACACGCGTTACACGCTTCGCGGCTCCATGAAGAGATCCGCCGAAGGCGATTCCCACAACGGCGAGATTCACAACTGCGTATGGTCGTGCCTTTCGCCAGGATAAGTTTGGGCCGTCTCGGGTGACTTTCTGGCCGTCTTGG